CGATCTCCTAACCGTTAGGTATTTCACGTAACGATCCCCTAACCGTTAGGTATTTCACGTAACGATCACCTAACCGTTCGAAACTTAGAAAGAAGATAGAAGAAAGAAGAAAAGAAGAAGAAGAAAGAAAAAGAAAAAGTTAACCTCGATTCTAATTTGCCATACCCCCGAGACATCCGCAGAGCTGAGGCGTCGTATGGACTTCGGACCTGACGGCGATTAAATCCTTCTGCCCTTGGGTGTACGAATTACGCAAGAAAAGGTTCTAGCCGAAGCATCAGGGGAGAGACCAGCCGGCCCCCAGACCATATCGGCTAATCCCTTGCATCTCTGCCACGCACGGAATCGGTTGAAAATGTAATGTCAAAAAGTCTAGTCTATTCGGTGCATTGTTTTCACGGCTATTGTTATGCTGATTCGCCTGGAACCGTGGTCCAGTGGAAAAAATTTGGACTTCAGTGACACTGAGTCAAGCCCGGTTGAGGGAAGTTAGTACCTGGATGGGTGACCTGAAACTTCTATATAACAACTAAAGCTTTTCTTTATTTTTCTTTTTTTCCCCTTTTTTAATACTTTAAAAGAAATATTTAGTTTTTGTGGTATTTAGACATAGACATAGATTTTATTTAGTACCTCAGTGTTTACATTAATTAAAGCTATTAAAGAGGAATTGTCCAGAACGTAAGGCACAAGCTAGTGCAGTTTTCGTATGACTGTGAAAAGCTCACGGCACGAACACGTTCGTGACACAGCAAAGAATACGTCACATTGCACGAGTATTTACTCTCCATCCAATCAAATACCCGGAACATGGCATAAACACGGCGCGGACACGGTCACGTCAAGATGACGGCACTTTTAGAAAAAATTAGACAATTAAAATTCTAGAAAGCATCACGGTCACGGAACGGCACGCTTACGGCACTGAGCTTTTCACAGTCATACGAAAACTGCTCTATCTAAAATGACTAAAAAGTTAATCTATTTAGACAGCTATTTGGTTATATGGCTTGCATTCAGTTAGATAACGATTGGGTTGTGTTTCAGAGCTACACTGACATTTCAATGGATCCAAAGCAGTTTGAAGGACAGACAGTTCTGATCATTGGCAGAGGTATGCTGGGTTTGACTTGGTGTGCGTGTGTGTGAACATTTAGCGGGAAATAAGTGTTTTTACTTTGAGCTGATTTGTTATTACCAGCATGACGGCTATAAAAAATCATGGCTATAGCAATAACTTTAATGCTTATAACGCGCATTTTTCATGACGAAATGTTCAAGTGCGCAAACTAAATGACATACACCTAATTGCAAAAATCGTAGTCGGGTTCGAGAAGGTTATATCATCGAAGCTAAGACCGAAAAGTGTTTATACTTATACTCCGAAATATGTATTGTATTTGCATATAGACATGTAAAAATGCGCAGTAGAGCAAAGTCGGTCGACCTTGATTAACAACATGCCAAAGCCATGATGCATAAAATGTGCATGCAACAAGTTTGGGGTAGACACACGCTGCAACAGTCCGGTTTCGTGCAATGTTGCATGCAATGTTGCACCGTGTGTCAGTACCTTTAGCAATACTGCATTGTTTGATCGAAGGTTGTATCGTAGTTCTGTCTGACGTGTACCAGTTTGGATATGTACGAGGGAGCATCTTTCCCGGATACGTACCCATCAATTCTGTGTTAAGTCCTTTTCTCAAAGTTTATCAAACCCTGTGACAGTCCCTGGAGTGATCTATGTCAGGGCACGGCTAACTCTCAGATCGAACCCTCATTTTCTTCGCTCCATTCTATTAACACCTCGACTGCTTTCTCCTCTAGGTAATTCTGGTTTTGAGACCGCTGCAGGTATTCTGGGCTCTACCAATCATATCCATATGTTCTCAAGGTATGAATTCAAACACTATGATCATGATATATTCATTCACCATTTTCCATACATCGGTTCACTTGTCAAGCATAAAGCATTCAGTCGAGGTTGCAAGGCTCGAATTTAATGAATCCTTTGAAGTACCTTGGCGCCTCGCTTGAGCCCTTTGTGTTTGACCAGTGCACCAATGTATAGATCATGATGAATAGCGCAGCGCAGCCGTGACGTCATAAAAACGAGGACAAAGGCGAAATTCGGACAAACAAACTTACAAGTTTACTTTCAGCAGATACTTTTCACAGCCGATCGCAGTTGATCTTAGTTTACATGGGTTATTATTGTAACTTTAAGTAAAAATAATAAAATCGGTTCGTATAATCCTCGTAGCGGTTAAACAGAATGCAATGTTTGTCCGAATCTTTAAGCTATTTTTAGAATCAGTGCGCTGCGCTATTGGTAGAACGATAACAGCAGTTCGATTCTATCGTGCTTACCACCGGCCACTCAACTTTGATGTTAGTTATAAATAATTAAATAAAATTCATAGGATAAAACCTGCAAATTTGGAGTAAAAAAGCGTATACGATCCGGAAAATCCAGCTAACCGAAGTCCAGTCCATTCCATCTACGTACGGTTCCGGATTTTCCGAAATGAAAAATTAATCAAAATTCGGGCTTTTAGAAGCGGAAAACAAGTTTTAGAAGTTGGGCATGTTTTTACTATACATTAAGATTATCCATGGCCTTTCATAAGGTGAAAATTAAAAAATATTTTTGTGATTCAAGATCCAGTCACTGACTGAAGCCCGGCCCAGTCACCTGCAATGCATTTCAGTCACTAACAATCCATTGCAGTCACAAGTAACATCAAATTTATTGCAATAGTATCTAATGGAGGAAAATTAGTCGTAAAAATCTAAAGATCCACAAAGTCACCTATAGACACATGGATGATACAGTCCTTTGAAAAACCTTTGCCACTGATCGGATGCACATGCAGGACTTAAGCCACTGCCGCGATCGATCAAAAAAAATTCTTTTTTTTTTCCTTTTTTTTTTTTTTTTTATTTTTGTTTTGTTTTTGTTTTTGTTTTTGTTTTGTTTTTTGTTTTTTGTTTTTTGTTTTTTTTTTGTTTTTTTTGTTTGCAAAATTTCGGAATGGAACACTAGTAAATTCGGAGTAAAAGACTCTTGCAGCACTTCGGAATGCAGCTCAATTCGTAGGGCAAGACAATAGGTTCCAATTCCTAGGAGATTGAATTTTTTTTTTTGTTTTGTCCCCCCCGATCGAGCTGTTTTGACGATTGCTAAGCATTATAACGTTCTTTTCTATTTCTTGTCTCACTTTTTAACTGCACGTAGCAAACTATACTTCATTGTTACGCGATCCAGAAAGCTATCCTAAATAACGCCTTCAGTCATTCAATCTTTGCTTGTTTTCTTTCTTTCTTGCTTGCTTGCTTGCTTGCTTGTTTGCTCCCTCTTGTATTTATGAAAACCAAAAAACCAGTCGATGGTCGCATAGTTATTCAGTTATTCGTATTTTTTTTTAATCTCAGATCTCGACTTCGTCTATCCTGGGAAACACATTACGTCGGTGACTTAAGGTATGTGTCACGGATCTTTTTCTTAATCGAAAATGTCCTTTCACTGGATGTGAACTCCATTAGATCATGGCTATTTCACATCCAGTGAAAGGACCTTGTTCATAATCCAAAAGGTCCTTTCACTGGATGTGAACTACATTAGACCATGACTATTTCACATCCAGCGAAAGGACCTTGTTCATAATCGAAAAGGTCCTTACACTGGATGTGAACTCCATTAGACCATGACTATTTCACATCCATTGAAAGGACCTTTTTCATAATCGAAAAGGTCCTTTCGCTGGATATGAACTCCATTAGACCATGACTATTTCACATCTATTCAAAGGACCTTTTTCATAATCGAAAAGGTCCTTTCACTGGATGTGAACTCCACTAGACCATGACTATTTCACATCCATTGATAGGACCTCTTACATAATCGAAGCGCCTTCTCAAACAATCAAACGATATTCATAACTTCTATTTCTACTTCCAGGGCAGTCAACAATGAAGTGCTAGACACTTATCAGCTTAAATCTTTGGATGGGCTGCTTGGTAAGTTTAGACGAGTTGCTGCATGTTAGACGAGTACGCTTAGCGCATGACGACTAGCGGAGTGCTTCTTGACATTTCCACGCACTCCCAACCAATCAGAACGCGATATTTAGAACAGTTATTTTACAAATCTCGATATATACCTACTATGAACATATTATCTATCTTGTCGTTTTAGAGGTTCCTGTTGAAATCATGGCCATCAGAAAGAAAAACAACAAGTTGTACATTGATACTACGATTGGAAAAGGAGGTCAGTTAAAATACAGAAACAAATTTCATCGCAGACTCTTTTGTGTGGAATAGCAAACAGGGTGCATTCTGGTCTAGCTTGGGTGAAAATCTCTTTGTTCATCATGCATTATGTGGTGTTTTTGTACTCAAGCTAGACCAGCATGCATCCTATTTTTTGAACGGCAGAATCTCAATATCATAAATATACGGATTTGCAATACCTCTTTACCTTGGGCGTAATGTTCCCCCATTTCAGACCACGTGTCATTCTCTTTTGGGCGTAATGTTTTACCATTTCAGACCACGTGTCATTCTCTTTTGGGCGTAATGTTTTACCATTTCAGACCACGTGTCATTCTCTTTTGGGCCTAATGTTTTGACCATTTCAGACCACGTGTCATTCTCTTGAGAATAAGATTCTTTGTTTGAGTTGTATCCATATTCATGTGTCTTCTTATGCGCAACCGTTAAACAAAGATATGATACTCTAGGGAATGACATGTGGTCTGAGATGAAAAAACATTACGCCCAAGTAAGAGGTCTACTATATAATGGTTGATCCTAGCCTAGGCTCAAATGTTTTTGATTTGGTTTATTTTCAGCTGACAATTTTGCTATCAGAGAGCCTTATGATCGCGTTATAAGATGTATGGGTTTCAAGGTAAGATTTGACAGATGTGTAGCGAATTTCAGTTCAAGTTATCATACCGAAGAAAGTCTTTGATAAGAGCAAGAACCAGGTCAAACCAAAATATCTTACTTGTGTTAGTCAATTCTTCGTTTGCACGTTACGTCATCGCGGCCATGTTGGTACCATTTAACAAAAGATTTCTCATTAGCATCCATTGTTAACGGTACCACAATGGCCGCCATGTTTTTGTCTTTTAACTCTCTTGGGAATGCTTGCAATCCATCAATACATCGGGTCTTTCTTGGTGTTGCAAGATGTATTGTATTCTGGGTTAGGGTTATTGTATTGCAAGGTATTGTTTAGCTCCAAACTCATTGTTTTCGGCTATTGTTTTATTGTCTTCATGGCTCAGATGTCCTGCGACCCCAAGAATGAGCCAATAGAGGCTTTGCACCATCACGTGATAGTGGCCATGACAAGAGGCACGACGATAGAGTCGTCCTGCCCTGGGAAACTGAATTCTTTCTCATGTAATGATAAAAGGGTAAATTATACACCGTGAAAAGGAGTACTCCGACGACGGACTAGCGTCCGAAACGTCAGTAAGTTTTTTATCTTTTCACAGTGTATAATTTACCTTTTTATCATTACTGTTTCATGAGAAACACCGACGCAGCTCACACTAGGTTTTAGCTAGTTATCTCTTCTTTCTCATGTAAATCAGAATAGGCTAGATTCAATGTTCCTGCCTCCTGTCATGGCTGCCATCATGTGATGGTGCAAAGCCTCTATCCATTTCTTTTCAACAGGTTTTTAGAAACGCTGAACTTGCTTTACGTGCATTTCTATGTGTGTACTTAATAATTTTTCTCTTCTACCAGTTTGATGACTCGATATTTGACAATAGCACCCTGCCACGTCCTTCCAGAGGTCGATATCTTCGGAAACTTCCCTCAATGACGGCGGCGTATGAATCGAATTCTATTCCAGGGATATATTATGGTATGTTAGTTTGTTTTAAGAACAGTTCAATACGTTTTCAGTATGCATGGTTTTCCTTTTATCTCTCTTGATATTCTGTAATCTTTTGATCGTCAGCTGGGACTAATACACATTATGTTGACTTCCGAAAATCCGCTGGAGGATTCATTCACGGATTTCGCTACACTGGTAAAGAAATGCCTCTACTTTTTATATTAATATAGACCCCGTGCAATAATTTCCTAGAGGAATTGTTCTGGGGGACGAAACAATAGGCCGTCTTTTCTTATGCAAAAAAATATTGTTTTGTCCCGCAGAAAAAATTCTTCTTGGGACTCAATGCAAGGGGTCTATACGCAGTGTGTTCAACAATAGAGAGTTTTAGATAGACTTTTTTTTCTCCCCGCAAACGGCAAACGTGACCACGTTTTCATAGTTTTCCTTCATTTTACTTACCTTTTACAAACCTTCTCGCCAAGCGCAAATATTCTTTTGTTTTTCTACTACTTGGACTTTTTTGCGATTCTTTTTCAGTAATTTAAAATAATTTTTTACTGGTCAACTGACGTTTCACGATTGCCGCGAACGTAAATCTAAAACTCTCTAATGTGACTCAAAATCCGCGAGATATGAATAACAATTTAATCAAACGCCTTGTTGGTCGATCTAACAAGAGAAGCTAGAGTGAGGAATGCTTCGTTATAGTCAAGCAACATGGCGGCTATGACGTAAATATTCGCATGCTCTTTAAACCACTGTTTTGTTAACTATATTGTTATATAACATTCCTGCCGGCTCGTTCTTGTTTCTATTTCAGCCCGAGCTTTACACCGGATCTTGGAATGGAAGAACCATAGAGTAACATGGCCACACGTTAAAGTACCGATAACTGATCTCTTGGGAGTGATCATGAAACGAATCAACGAAGCCTCTGTATGTCATGTCACTAAATCTGACGTCAAATACGTAGGGGTGGGGGTGGGGTGGCTTGTATCCCATAGAAACAAAAAGACATGGGCTACACGTTGATGACTGCAACTGTTGCGTGACAAATTAATGGTCTTCATTCCTATGAGAAGCCATTTCAATGTTACGGCATGTCGTACCATGTACGTGCTGTAAGTCAGTACCGTACGTTTCCCATCATACGATAACCATTCTTATGGGAAGCCATTTCATTGTTACGGCATGTCGTACCGTGTACTAGCCTTGATGTATGATAACATAATAGTAAGAAGGTCTATTTTTTCTGTTCAGGGAATTTATCAAATGTTCGGTATTCTTGGAGAGGTTATCATCTTTCGTGAGTATCCATACATCGTATCCCATCCATCCATCCATTCTTTTTCCTGTCTAATTTTTTCTGTTCTTCACAGGGTCCAACGACAGTGTAGAATATTACGAAGAAGTTCCTTTAAAGCTGCTTCACAAATTTGAAGGTAAAGAAACTCAATCCTTCAATGTTTTTTTATTCAAAAAACCCATAAAATAAGAGCTCGGTATAGAACACAAACCCTTATGAGTTTTTGGTGGCAACAACATTCCTGATTACACATTCGTACACGCTCCTTCCACCCCCCCACCGCCACCATCTCGTTGCCTCCGCCAAATATCTGTAGTAAAGCATTAGTAGAGCATTAGAATATTTATCAGTTAGAAAGTTTTCGAATTACGTACACGGCAAACGTGAATTAATATTGAACGTCAATTACTGAGAAGGAATCGCCAAAATATCCAAGTAATAGATGAACAAAAGAATATTTGTCTGTGGTGAGAAGGTTTGTGGATAAAAATCTAAAATACAGGAAAACGATGAAAACGTTTGGGGAAAGAAAAAAAGTGAATCTAAAACTTTCTATTAATATTACTTACCGTGAAAACTCAAACGCGAGGATCAAAACATTCTTATACTTGTACTCGCGCTTGTGCTTGCGTCGTATAGTTTTATCATATATCGGTGAAAAAAACTTTGTAAGAAATTGCGCAAATTGCACAAATGATTAAGTTCATTAGACCTCAGTAGACCGTAGACCTATAAAACTTTGCGCAAATTTGTACAACTTTTTCAATTATACATGGTATGCACTCTAGTGAAAATTGATGGTTTTCACGTTGGCCATGTTGGAGGAACTTAACAAAAGAATTGTCAATGATTTCTTTTGTTATATCCTCCAACATGGCCGCCGTGTCTTTTGTTATTTAATTCTCTTGGGAATGTTTAGGATTATTTTTTTCTATGCATAAATACCTCATATATAGCATATCAAACAGCCAATACATTTATTGCTAGTAATTAATTTTGCGTGTTGTGAAATTTTTGAGCACAAAATGTCGGATTTCACTTCCAGAAGTGTTGGGTGCTAAGTATCCCATGCCTTCATGGCCTGTCAAATGGAACCCCGTAGATGACAGTTAACTTGTGTTCATCTCTCTGTCTTACATCTATCATGTGTATTTATAATGTTTCTTATGTACCGGGGATTTTTTCTAGAATACACTGGTAGGTCTGTTGGACCCATGATTGTTATTAACATGGAATATGGAAGAAATTACTCAGGACCTGGGTAAGTGAGGGCTAATCATCACGATCATCATCATCATCATCATCATCATCGTCATTATACTTATTATTATTATTATTATCATCATCATCATCATCGTCATTAACATCATCACCATCACCATTTTCATCATCATCATCGCCATCACCACCATCATCATCACCACCACCAACACCACCACCACCATCATCGTCATCAGCAGCAGCAGCATCGACATCATCGTCATCATCACCATCAATATCAACATCAATAACAAAATTAATTATATCATCGTCAGCGTCATCTTCAGCGTCTTCGTCATCGTCATCGTCATCATCATTTTTATCATCAATATCAACATCAATCATCAACATCATTATCAACATCGCCATCAACTTCATCATCATCATCGTCGTCTTCAGCATCATTATCGTCAACGTAATTATTAACAACAACAACTTACAAATTAAACACTCTAAAACAAAAAAAACTGTTGAATCTAGGAAAGATGTATTTAACGCAAACCGTGCCAGAGCTGCTGGAGACCCGTCAGTCGCGCATCATTCCAACTTCTTGCATCCTGTTCTTTATTTCTACAAACAGCCACCCAAAGGTAAAGCTATTGTGGTATAAAGAATTTCTCGTTACACATCTATGCAAGTGACTCGAGATAATCTCACTTTCCAGTAGACGTCTTTAGTTTGGGTGTATTGTTTTCCCATTTCAGGCCACAAACAGTGTATCCATTTTCAGTAATATACCCTTTACTTCTTCATGAAATACCGCTGTGTTCCTTGATTACAGACTCATTTGCACAGGGTTAGCCTCGTATCAGTGTCTAAATATTCACAAATACCAACGGTAAAGTAAAGAATGCACAACTTCAATAGTACAAACGCTTTGAAATTCCACGGACCTTCACTGGAATACATGGATATTCTGTATATATTTGAGGCTAAACGTGGGCAACAGAGAATAATCATTTCCCATTTCAGACCACGTGTCATTCTCTTGAGAATAAGATTTTTTGTTTGAGTTGTATCCATATTTATGTTTGTGTCTTCTAATATGTCTTCTGTAATGACACGCGCATGGGAGTATATACACATAGAATATGCGCGTTATAAATATTAAAGTTATTATTATTATTACTGTTTGTGTATGTTGCAGACATGAATGAAGATAGTCAACGGATTACTGAACTACCTCGACCAGACCGCTTACATGTCATGGTGGAAGATTTCTTGACGTTGTGGTTAGTAATGATGCTTTTCACAGCCGCCATGTTGGATGAATTTAACAAAATATTCGTCATTAGTCTCTTTTGTTATATCATCCAACATGGCCGCCGTGTCTTTTGTCATTACATTCTCTTGGGAATGATTGAAAACCAGCATTTATGATTTAATTTAATTGAGATCTTTAGCAAAACTCGGACAAGACACGTATCTGTAATAAAATAATCAAGGGTGGAGTAGGGGTAGTAGGACACTCGCCTCTCACCTCTGAAGTTCTTTGGCTCAGCAGAGTTTCAGTGTTGTATCTCCCCCTTGAATCGAGAGTTCTTCTTCTTCTTGTTCTCCAGTTTTTCTCCCTCCGCAAGCGAAACCTAACACACTGGATTCCAATTCGTTATGCCCAGACTTTGATCAGCTTAAAAATTGTTACAACTATCGATACTATTTGAAGATTTCTTATAAGAGTTTGGTCATTAAGTTAGCTCCGGAGGGAGCGGTGCCAACATATTTAGAGAACGTCCCTTTGGCCCTGTTTTGTTAATCTTTTCTTTTCTTTTCTTTTTCTTTTTGTCATTTCCTTCCACGTGTTTATTCCCTTGAACTTTATTATAAAGAGCTTTATCGCCAGGGCAATATTTTAAATTTCAGACCACTTGTCACTCCCTAGAGTATCATTTCTTTGTTTAATTGTTGCACAAGAGAAGACACGTGAATATGGATACAACTCAAACAAAGAATCTTATTCCCAAGGAAATGACACGTGGTCTGAAATGGAAAAAAAAAAGATTTCGACCAAGGTAAAGAGGTTTACTGCTCGTGAGGTCAAGGGATTGAAATGGGAAAAATAAACATACAAGTAGGACCTTCACTTTTTAACCTTTTTTTTTTTCTCTTAAGGGACGCTCCTGTTGCACATTTTTTGCTTCTACGTCGTTTTATGGAAGAGATTGTACAAGAGGATCTGAGATATTTTTATGCGAAGTCGTGTTTCGAGGTGAGGCTCCGTTTTTTTACGGGTATCCTTGACCATATTTAAGAGTATCCTTGACCTTATTTAAGAGTATCCTTTTTACAAATGTCCATATTTAAGGGTATCCTTTTTACAAATGACCATATTTAAGGGTGTATCCTTGACCATATTTGAGAGTATCCTTTTTTTTCAAATGACTATATTTAAGAGTATCCTTTACCATGTTTAAGAGTATCTTATTTCAAATGGCTAAAATTTAGAACTAGTCCCCTTTGGACACCTTAAGTAATAGTCCCTATCTAGGCACGACCTTATGCCAGAGCCCTCGTTCTTTGCCACAGGCGATGGGAAGCGCACGCTCTGGGAGAATGAGATCGCAACTAAAATAGGTTACGTTTGGTAGAGCATGCGCACTAAGAATGGCAGTGCTCATTTTCACATTTCATATAATGATGATATTGCTATTGGTTTCAGATGTTCATGACGTACACTTCTGTACCAAAGACATGTCAGCAACAGTACTTGAATGGTAATAATATTTAAATAACTCGTGGACCAATCCGCAGACAGGGTTTATCATAACAATAGATTGCATTGAGAATGTGATAAATGCAAATGACTTTGAAAAGATTGATAAAATTGGCGAGAGTCCTTGTTTAGGCGCTCGCAGTTTATCGGTTGATTTAAAAATCATTTTAAAATTATTATTTTATATTTTTCCTTTCTTTTTGTTTGTTTGCTTGCTTGCTTGCTTGCTTGTTTGCTTGCTTGCTTGCTTGCTTGTTTGTTTGCTTGCTTGTTTGCTTCCTTACTTGCTTGCTTGCTT